AAGACATTGATTAGCATGCTCAGGTGTGTTTGATTAGGGTTAGAGCTAAACTCCGCAGGAAAGTGGATCTCGTGGGCCAGATTTGAGGATCCCTGCTATAAGGGGGAAAAAAAAATCCTAACTGCCACACATCCCACAGTTTAATTAATTTGTGCAATAACCAAGAAAAACATTAAAGGCCCTTGCACACAGAGTCCGAAATTTTCAAAAATAAAAAAATAAATACGACCTCACGTTGTGTCGATCACATTTACATACTGCCTCCGAAACCTTCGTCCGTCATAAGGATCGGGTTATCGGGTTCGATTTTCTGCGATTTTTTTGCATCCGTAGCAAGCATTTTGAAAGGCGTTTTGACAATTCAGAGCCACCGTACAAGCGAGCACCAAAATCCAGAATGGTGTCTGACAAGTTGATCCATTTCTTCTCGCTGCACAAAGCACTGTATAGGTCCTTGCACACAGTTCATGGAAATTGTGGTCTTCTTTTTAATATGTGGCTCCAGTATCGCTAGCAAAGCTTCAACCTGAGCCACTGACATCCTGAAGTCAGCTTTGAATCGCCCGGGATAATCCCGCAGCTAGGGCTGGGCGATATAGCTAAAAAATGTAGCAACAATATAATGTTTCATATCGTTCGGTATCGATAATTATTGACATTTTTATATCCTTTTTTAAAACAAAGAGCAATATAATTTTTTTTTTATTTAACCACTGTATTTTTAAATTAACAATTTATTAGACGACAAACAAAAAATATTTTTTTTTTAAAACTAAAACACAATAAAAATTAAACAAATATCTAATTTCTAATGTTTTATATTCAGATTAAATAGGTCTTAAAGAAACTTTTGTCTCCTCTCCCAAGGCCACAGGAGGGCGCAATGAGCATAATAATGCAGCGCATTTAAATTGTCAACACAAGGAAGTAACTCAATAAAAACGTGCATTGCTTCCAAATTAACTCATAAAAATCGAATATAATTTCGTAAATTGCATAAACAATTATGAACAAAACAGCATCATGTATTTATGCATTGCTTAATCCAAAGAGCCGAATCGCCCATCACGCAGATTGCATTTAAAAACATATGAGACGCAGTGAAAAGGAATAAACCTCCACAAATTCACGACGTGTTTTCTAAAAGTCTAAGAGTGTATGGTAAGGGGGGTAACATTTCCGTCACACGCTTGAGGTATTCGGCCAATCACAATGCACTGGATAGCTGGCCAATCACATCGCTTTTCAGACTGATGAGCTTTGTAAAAATTGATGCGTTTCAGAAAGGTTGGACATAGAGGAGCAACAAAAAATGTTTGTTTTTTTACTTTAAACCTCATAAACATTTCATTACACCAAATAATGTTATTTTTAGCAACATCATATGACCCCTTTAATAGGATATTGAATATTAGGGTATTTGGCACGGTTACTTGTGTGTGTGTGTGTGTGTATAGAGAATGTTCAATGCTTTGGGGTCAGTTTTTTTAAAGAAATTAATACTTTAATTTTTGCCAGGATTATTATAATCAAAAGTGACAAAGACATTTACAAGGTTAAATGCTGTTCATTTGAACTTTCTACTTATCAAAAAAAAGAAAAAAAAAAAAAAAAAGAATACATTTATTACGATTTCCAAAACCTTCTTGCTACTGGAGTAATGGCTGCTGAAAGCTTTAAAATATACGAAAATAGAAAACAGTTATTTTAAATAGTAACAATATTTCACAACATTAATGTTTTACTGTATTCTGAATATAAAAAAGGCAGCCTTGGATGAACACGAGAGACTTCTTTCAAAAACTTTTTTTTTCTGTCCCAGAAATAAAAAGGTATTTAATCAGGATTTCCACACCTTTAACCACTTAATTTCCACGATTTTTCTAAGCGTTTGTCATTACTGGATAAGGATATTTAAAGAGCAGGTCATATGTTTTTTTTAAAGTGTCCTAATATTGTGTTGGAGTCCCCTACAACAGGTTTAAACGCATCTAAGGTCAGAAAACACTGTAATTTTCCCAGAATATACATTTATACATAGAGTCATTTGTCCGTGATTTCGAAACGGTTCGTTCGATTCAGTTCTGAGCTAAATGTCTGTAAACCCCTCCCTTCCATAAAACATTTTGTTTAACACTTATGCAAGCGAATCGTGCCCACAGCTAAAGTTTAGCTGATAAACTGTACACACTTAAAACAATAATGGTGGATACGTTAGCCAAGTGCTAACGTGACTAACTGATGAAACAATACAGTTTGAAAACTAAAATATGTCAACTGTAATGTCTGAAGAATGACAGACAAAAGACGCTCCGTGTCTTAACCTTTAATTATAACGCAGAACAGCTGTATCACATGCGCACCAGCCTAACTAACTCGGCTTTCTCTACCGGGCCTTTTACTCCCTGCATTAACACTATAACTACATAAACAGCACTTTCACAATGATTATGAAGTCTGTGCGCTACACTACATTCTTTATTATTAAACGAAGTAATTAGAACAACGACAGTCTACATTATTCAACACATTCTTAGGAAATAGTGGGTTCACAGCGAATTATCAGAACTATTTCAGTAAAACAGTAATATCGTGCTTTACCTGGAAACCTAAAGCTGCACTAGGTATACATCACATTAGCACAAAAAAAAAAACTAGATATTTTGAGCACTCGTATCAATCGTACTTACAGGTTGTGATTCGGACATGCTTGTTGGTCCAAATAAAGAAGATTAGAAGCCAACGAAGATAAAAGGCAAGATTAAAGGTTCGAGGTAAAAGGTTTGAATTGTATTGTTGTGGTATCGTGGAACACAGCATCTTCTCGACACAGAGTGTTCATATTTCGTGGGCAGGCGGGGATTATGCTAATGTGTTACCCAGTGACATAGATCGATAACAGGCAGAAGATTCGAAAATATAACGACTCGTTAAGGCGATTCTGAGTCGACTCTTTCTTTTGATAGACAATATCTTTATTTATCATGAGATTTTTTGATTAACAACTTTGCAGACTGTTTACATTTAAGGATAGCTACCTTACAAACTGCAAAAGAGATATTTTTCGAAAACCCATATGACCTGCTCTTTAAAAGGCATTTTGCAGGGACTGTCAATTCATAATCAAAAAAAATATTTTAGTTTATAACAAAAATTTATATTCACTATAGAAACTTCACAAACCTATATAATTTTTTATTAATTCCATGACTTTTCCAGGCCTGCAAAAACAAATCCTCATTTTTACAGCTCTGTTTAATGTACTGTGTTGATACTGAATTCAATGTTTGGAAACAATTGAAAACACACTGATAACTGGTTTGCTTTGGTTTAAGCATATGCACTGGTTTCTATCGGCTCCACAGAAAGCAAATGATAGTTGCACACCAGTGATGTTTTACAGAGCGTTGCTATGCAGTTGCTAAGGCGTTCTGGGCAGTTAGAAGTCAAAAGTCACCCAAAGTGTAAGAAAAGACAGTAAGCCCCTTCAAAAGACAACCTGAAGATGTCCACCGAAGACATGAAAACTGCTGGCCATGACAGCACGTATTACTATTGCACCAAGCAAGTCACATGGTTAGATTTGAGGTTTTTACGACTGTCATATGCAAAAGATCATCTGAGGGCAACATTTACAATAAACCAGCTGCCTCCAGACAAGAAGTGTGTTTTATGCATGTGCATGACACCCAGCCTCCTTTGTGTACCATTTAACATTCTGCATTCATTCTATGAATACATAAGATGTGCATACTGTAGATTTTGCGCAAGTATACATTTTAATCACTCATCATATATAGACAGGAAGGAGGATCCTGATGGCTAGAGCTGCAGGCTATGAGATGGGTGGTGTGAACATAATTAAATGTCCTGAAGTCACACTGCAGTACTGTTTTAATGCATTACAGCTACAGAAACGATCACTGCGTATGCCTTACAGATGAAAGATTAAAAAAGCAAAGCTCACAGGATATTTACACTGTGACTTTGAGTAGAACCAGACTCCAGGACAGAGCCACGCTTTTATTTACTCATGGAGTTGTATTTACCCATGTGCTGATCTGTGGCACTATTTAACAGTCCAAACAAACAGCCAAGTGAAATATATCCCTGAACTATAAACATTACACTAAACACCAAGCAATTCTGTGTATGAGCCTCTGCACATTCATTCTTTTTACTGCTAGTGTGCATTAAAAATAATTTAGTCAAACATTCAAACAGATTTGAACGTTTACATTTAATCTAGAAATATAAATAAATACTTTAGTAACAAATTTACCCCATTTATTCAGTAGATCACTATGATAACGATTACAAAATAATTCCAAACAGGTTTGTTTAAAATCTAAATCTGGAAACCAAGAGCATAGAGTTAAAGCACCAACTGTTACTATAAATTTATATACTAACAACTATATATATATATATAATAATAATAATAATAAATACTATTAATATCCAACAACTATATTGCCATATTTTGTACTTCATAACACTAGCAGAGCTTAAAGACAAGCTTAAACCTCACTTGACAAGCTGATCAAAGAGTTGATTAAAAATAAGGAAATGTTACAAGCAGAAATAAAAGTACTAAAACTATTCTCAATCCTCTTCATTTAACGTTACATCAAAAAGAAGTCTGACAGATGTGACTAAAATGCAAATGAACTTGTCAAGCTCGATCCACAAGCTAACTTACCAGTATTTAAAGCAACTTTTTTTACAGACAAACTAACAACACATGACGACTACAATGCACAGCCTTTTGCCAAATATAATATGTGGTAAATATAATAATTAACACATGTGAATTTGTAAAGTTTGTAATCAAAACAAAGACATTAGCGGCACGGCTAACGCTAGATGCTAGCAGCGCGATATGTGAAATACAAAATAACTGTGCTTTATATTACGATAGAAATTAGAAAATGGAAGTTTCTGTAAAAATATTGTTATTTTTGTGCTTAATTCAAGCTGTTAACTAGCTCCTCACTGACCTGCGGCTCTTAGCGGAGGCCTTCCAGACAGCCGCTCAAACTGATTTAGTCTGTCCGAGCTGTGTGCTTCTTCTGCGGCAGACATCGCTCCGAAAATCACGCTGAAATCATCCACCTACACGCACTCGCAGACAACGGGGCTTCCTTCAGCAGACAGAGGCGAACCGCAGAGCATAACTCAGCCCATTCTCCCCGCGAAGAGATGTTTAAATGAAATAGATGAACCTGACCGGATCTCCTTTGCAATGAACGTGAAGGTAGAAACGCTGGTGAAAACCTACAAGATGGCCACAAAAAAAAAAGAAAGAACACAAGCTATGAAAATAATCAGACATGTATCCCTTTCAAAATAAAAGTCTTCACAATAAACGTCAAGCTTTACAACCAAATCTTTGACTAAAATACTTCAAGCTGACCCAAAACGTCCAATACTAAAAAATGCTGTAGCTTTTTTTTCATATTTTATGTAAAAAAAAAATCTGTTTGTAATACTAAATGTCATGTCAAATGTCATACATTAATTTAAAAATGAATGGTTTATTTATTATTCACTAAATTAACGAAATAGGAACTGTTTACCTAAATAATAAAATAAAATAAACTGAACAAGATTTTTCATGACAGTCTCACATTTATCAAAGCAATACTGAGGCCAGTGATTGTGTTAAGACCGAAGAATTAGTTTGACCAACTAGCAGTTAGCCAAGAGACAATCAGTCACAAATCTCACTTTTCTGATTAAAATTGGGCCAATCTACATTGAACAAGATTTTGCATGAGAGACTCACATTTATCTAAGCAATATTGGTGCTTTATCTTTCCTGTATGCATGGCTGATGATACACGGGGCAATGTTTTTATCAATTTTGCCAGGCAACTTTTTTTTGAGCAATGTTGTTTGGGCATTTTCCCATTGAGAATGGGTAACACCTGGTTGCCCGTTGACGGCAACATTGCCCAAAATGTTGCCCCGTGTATCATCAGTCAAAGACTTATTGTTCACTAGGTAAGTCTTAAGCGAACTGCTCAAGACATTTTATTTGTCGACTTAAGTGCGGCTTGTACTCAAATTTCCATCTCTTTTAATATTTAGAAAAGGACTGAATTTTCGCCATTATTAATTTGTATTTCTCAATATTATAAATCACAACAAAATTATTTAATTGCACACACACTTTTTTAAAAATCAAATCCCAAAATGTACCTGCTAAGTAATTTTGGTTATTGATAGCAGCTTAGATGAGTAAGCACTTGTAAAATCTTTTCACAACACAAACTGCAATGACAGTTCAGTTCAGTTCTGTCTGTTCAGTTCCTTCCATTGAATGCCAAAGAGGTTGTTTCGTTTAAAGTTTTCACCCTTCTACTTCAAAATCCATTGTGTCAAACAGCAATATGAGACATGTCTTGGTGTGGTTATTTTTGTTCCCAGCTCAACTCAATGCCAGTAGCTTGTATCTCAGCTAAAAGTATCTACTAACAATGAGTTGGACTGACTACAGAAAAACAAATGTCTCTTTCATAAACTGATAAATATAATCTGTTACTGCACAAACTACTTTGTATCAAATGAATGTAACTACACTAATGTAGCCTCCTAACAAACAATTAATAATTCAGTACCCATATTTACAAACTGTATATGTGGTTAACCATATAGTTTTGTATTTATTTGTCTGTGATTAACATAATTAAGATGTTAATGAGAGGAACAGTATTTAGACAAAACAAAACAAGGTCATGGAGTGCAGCAGTATGGTGTTGAAATAAATAATGAAGAAACTGTTATTACAATTCAGCTATTATAGTTTTAGTGTTAGCAATCACTGTCATCAAAATAAGAAATTTAGAAAAATGACAGAAAGCTTCTTAAACGGTTACCACGGTAGATTTTTGTAATGGAGGGGGCGGAACTGTGACAATTGATGTCTTGCAGCGGAAGGGTTTAGAGACAGACACCGAACATGGCCGCGCTCGGCAGCCATGCAAGTCGCCCAGAAAACGGCGAAAAACAAAACAAAAATCCACTCGTGTCTCCCCTGAAAGTGCGAGAACTTCTCAACGAAGGGGTCGCTTCGGAAGACAACGTGTTAAATTGGTAAGAGTTTCTCTCTAATGAGAAAAAAAGTTGCAAAAAGTAAGAATGTGCGCGAAGAAAACAGGGCAGGAACGGTGAACAATTCAGCAAAACCGATACGTTTTTACTGAAAACCCTGGTGGATAATTGAACCTAAAATGGTAGTTGTGTTTTGGAACATGGGAGATGATCCAAAATAAACATTGACTTACTAAAAACCGCTAGTAAGTCTTGGGAAATTCACCAGCTAAAGAAGACCACCAGTTAGACTAGAAACAAACCACGTTACCAAGCTACCTGTCAATATGTAGCTGGTTTCAGGCTGATGCACACTGGTAGACCCTCTTTGATTAGCAGCAAACCAGCTACCAGCTCGTCAAGCTGGCTTTTGAAGCATGGTAGTTGGACCTGGTCTACCACTTTGTTCCAAATCAGTCTTAAAATTAATATTTCTGCAGGGTGATGCAAGATTGATTTTTGTCCAAGTTTTTGGACTAATGCATGCATGTTTTTTCCCTGTAGGGATTAAATAAGTGCTTGCAATGCTGCAAAGTCACTCAGGTTCTAATTATGCCTGGAAAATATGGATTAACGGGAACATTTGTGGCATAGTTTATGCATAACACTTTCTTCTCCATATCTCAGTTCACAGCAGGATCCAAACACACTGTCTCCAAATGGCCTTGGGAAAGCTCCTTGTGAGGCAGCAAACAAAGAAGCGTTTTTCAACAGAGTGGAATCCTACTCAATATCCTTTTGAGTGTCGCTTGATATCAGAAACCAGCAACCAGTTTGTGTTGCATAATAAATTGCATGCCTGGTATAGATTAATCAAACTCAGTTGTTGGACTCTTCATTGATTTCAAGATGTTGCATCACTCATCTAGTTGATTATGATTCGTCTTTGCCAGACAATCTGTGATGAATAAAAACATCCTTAAAATCTGACAGACTTAGTCACCATGAAATCAGAACTGACAGTTCTTCTTTATTTAACGAAATGTTGCAATGTGTATTATTATATCCTGCCCTAAGTTTTCACTTGGGTATAAGTCAAAATATGGAAGAAAAGATAATCACTCTTTTATTGCTTTTGCAAAATTCATCCTTGACATAAGCACTGTCTCAAATGGGCTGGAAAGCCCCGTGCACTCTCGCCGCTGAGATGTGCACGGTACGGCTGGATCAATGTAGACTGTGACATGCTGAAGTGTTCTAGTTGCCAGGCTTTCCTCTGTGCATCAATCCAAGCAACCTTGGACTTCCAGAAATGTGAGTTTTGGACTATATATATATATGTATATATATATATATATATATATATATTCTTTATATATATATACTCTATCT